GTGAGGTCAGTGGGCGTCAAGAGACATCATACGAAGACTTTTTTTTCTTGAACAATCCATTATGTGGTCAAATTTGTAATCTCAGTTGAAGAATTTGCCATCCATGAGAGTCACCTATTTGAGGACCTCATCAGCATCAAATCAACACCCTATTGGCTCAATCTTGGACTCAAAAGATTGATTGGACGTTCAAGGCCCTCAATTATCCATGTCAAAAGTCGACATACGGTTTTACTACGTAGTAAAAAATTTGGCACCCACCGTCCGTTAGGCATCCGATAACAGAACAAATCGTCACAACTTCTTCTCCCATCAAGTTAGTACCATTGTGCACGATTAAATGCACATACAAGCCCCAGGAGACCCACCACCTCTGTCCAAGAAACAACATGCACAAGCCTTCGAGATCTTGTAGTTTCCAACTACTCGCAAGGTGTCTCGCAAAAAGGCTAGAACAACGGCGATTAAGCCGCGTTCAGGCCGACCAAGGGTCACGACACCCAGCGAGGACCGCATTGTCGTGCGTGCTGTGAAAAAAATCGTCGACTGAGTGCCGAATCCTTGGTGGAAACGTTTCAAGTTTTCCATGACAAGGATTTTTCAGCCTCTACAATTCGTCGCCGTATACAAGAGAAGGGCTTAAAAGGCCGTGCAGCCCGTCGCAAACCGTTTTTGACCAAGGCGAATAAGGTCAAGCGGTTGGCCTACGCATTGAAGCACAAGAACAAGACCGTGGAGGACTGGAAACGCGTTCTGTGGACCGACGAGAGTCCTTTCAACTTGTCGGGGTCGAATGGCGCCGACCTGGAGAAGAGTTCAAGGATGAGTGCTTTGCTCCAAAATTCAAGAGTGGTCGTTCCAACATTATGGTTTGGTGGTCTATGGGATGGAATGGCATGGGTTTCTTGGTTCATCTCCAAGGAAAAGTTTACTCGATCGTCTATCTAGACCCTGCTGAAGGAAAAATTGCCCGAGGATTTTATTTTGCTTGGCCTTCCGATCGACTTTATTTTTCAGCAAGACAATGCCCCCATCCACACTGCCAAGAAAGTCAAGGCTTTTTTCGACGTTTCGAGAAGATTGATCACCCCCCTCAAAGCCCTGATCTCAATAAAATTGAGCATGGGTGGGAGTACGTTAAGCGTAGGATTCGTAGTAACCCTCCTTCATCAGTTGTTGCCCTGCGAAACCGAGTGCAGGAAATATGGGACAATTTCCCTGTCGACTACGTTCAAAATCTCATTTCGAGCATGCGTTTGAATATGGTCATTGCAAACAAAGGTGGTGCCACAAAGTACTATAATTGAATGAACACATGATGTCATGGGAATTCCTGATAATCGTATGATGACTTTAGATTTGGACGTCAAGCGTGTTCTAATCATCGTATCATGCCAAGTTTCCAAGTCAAGGACCTGTAGCCTCGATGAATTGATATATCAATGGTGTCCTTGCGACTATGAACATCTGCGTTGTGGTAATGGCTACAAAGGTCAGAGCTGTAGCGCCTACAAGTCGAGTGTATCAATCGTATGATGACTTTTGACACCCACTGTATGACACTTGAGCAATACAGTGATCCCCCGATTTTTGCAACCAGGTATAAACTAAAAACTAATCTAAATCTATCCAGTATTAATTTCAACAGGAACAGAGAGAATCGATATAATTTGAAATTCACAGTCAAACCGTGCAGCCAATCCGGCGCCAATACAATCGGCACCCCGCAGCATTAACAGCCACAGATGAAGGACATTTCATTTTGCCATGCCAGCGCCACCGAAGCGACTCACACTCAGTCAGAAGGACATAGTCAGGGCATACTACCGCAACTCGACTCATCGCACGTTAAAGAATACATGCGCGTGGGTCATGCACGAGTTTGGCATCACGTTGAATCGATCTACTGTGAGTCGCATTCTCCAGTGCACCCGCGACTACTCAGAAGCCAACATTGATGCCGCCGCTGCAATGCTGTCGCGCTACAACTAAAAGCCCCAAAGCACACGGAGCTTGATAGAGAACTGGCAGCATGGATTCAAAATGCCAATGACAAAAACGCCTGCAATACCGGGCAAATGATCAAGAGGAAGGCACACCAAATCGCTGCGCGTCTCAACATCACCGGGTCCATCAATTTCTCCAACGGTTGGATTTACCATTTCGCAACGGAACAATCTGCGTATGTTTAGTCTTCACGGCGAGGCGGGATCAGTTGATCCGGACGTCGACCACCGAGGCCGACAAGACCTGCTGGTTGATACTCTACGAGTAGAGTATTTGGCTCAGAAAAGGACAGAAAAACCTCCTAATACACATAACCCTTAATGTTCTCAGGGTGTTGCAAAAATCGGGGGATCACTGTACCAACATGACAGAGGACCCAGGACAGGCGCTTTCCTTGAACAATCCCACACACGAAGGACCTGCGACACGGTCGGGCATCCGACACATCCTTCTGTCACGTTTTGTGTAATACATTCGAAACTGGAGCTCCTCGACGAAACGAATCGCGTAAGTGAATCCCGTAAAGAATCGCTTAAGCCAATCAAAATCATTACCGTCAATTAATTATAGCCAATTTAATCACAGCACTTTCCCATTGACTGCACTGTCAGTCTCCGAGTGACGATGCAGCGCACCTCACCACCACACAGATATCACACAAGCTCGTCCCAGTCACCACCACAGGTCGATTTTGTCTCCGATACACAACGGTCTAATGCACATAGCACCCCTTCCCACAATCATCCTGGCTTGTATCGCATGCGGGCAGATTTTGTTGTCAAAGAGACCATTTAAGGCCGCGATCACAATTGCACGACGATCTAATACTTTCCATGTGAGCCCGTAGCTGTGTATAATGCGCTAAATTGTGGTGACGGAGATGTACTTCTTAAAATGAGTTTCGAAAGCACGCTTTGCCTCGTCAAGGAAGGCAATTGGGTTTTGCTGGTAGTATTGGACAACCCACTTCTCTGCTCGTCGCTGAAGGCACGGACTTGACTTGACTTCTTTCGTTCGAAGTCGGATGTGTTTTCATACCGCTCAATCCAGCTTGATATCGTGGACACAGACTTGTTGAACAGCCGTGCGACGACAGAGCGCTTGACGCCAAAGAAGTAGTACACAAAAAGTGCGTGCATGACAGTGTTCCTCGATGCATGAGTGTGCTGAACGTGCCGGAGGATCATCCTATCTTGCAATTGTGTGTCAAAGAGATATACTGTGCATTGTACACTATATTGGGGACAAGATAACCCCAGCTAAGACATTTTCAAGCGGTTTTGGCCAATCGCGTCGCCAGTCCAGATTTGGGCGAAATTGACAATACTAAAAACTAATTTTACCATGTCGAACAGACTTTGGCCAAAGCAAATGCAACTTTGCAATTTGTGACAGGAAAAAGTGTACTCAGTGGTCATGCATTATTTTCTTGAAATTTGTATTAGATGGATCTTCATGTAACGTAGTCTCTCAGTGATCAGCCGAAATTCAGCTTAGTAAACTTGAGTGTATCTGGCGCAATTTTTACAACTACAAGAAATGACGTATATGTTGATATTCCTCCAGACATGCTGAACACAATTAGTTGGTCACCTATCAATTTCAACACTTCCACAATGAGCAAAAAATTGTTGAAAATGCCAACTCAAACAGGACTCTCAGTGATCATCCAAATTTATACTGGATTAAACTATGGGAAAATGTAGGGTAAATCCGTCACAGTAACCATCTCATAGAGGTTTATTATTTTTATACAGGAATAGAATCTTGGAGGAAAGAGGGGGTACAGTAATACGTGTTATCTCAGCTACAAACCAAGGTAATATAGCTCACGTTGTAGAGCTCCTGCTTCGCATGATGCATGGATCAAAACCCCGTGTAGTTGACTTTTTTACCAGAATTGCAAGAGTGAACCATGAATGATGTCATTGAATTTTACATGTCGAACCACCAGGTTGCTGCTACTCAACACACAATGGCAGAACGAAATACGACCATAATGTGCTTCATTCTCCGTCTTACACAATAATCGAGTCGACACATTTGTGTTCCTCTGCACTTACATTGCCAGTAGTTTGTTTCTGCGACTTTGGTCCGCCTCGTACGATGGTGGCTGGATGGGCGTTGGTCCCTTTGGCCATTGTAGAGCCGGATTTGGCTCTTGTCACGTGTGTGCGTAAGGATCGTTGAGGAATGCCAAATGCTATGGCAGCGGATGGAATGGTGTGCTGCTTCTTGATCATCACGTCGCTCACTGCGGCTGCAATCTCGTCAGGTGTGTACAGGGTTCTTGGTGGCATTTTTCAAGGTTGACACACTTGATGCCTCTGAATTCTAATGTAATTTCCCACCAAAAAATTATGAGGGATTTAGTTGTTGGAGTAACGAATTTCATCCAATCACAGGATTCTACATCGACGAAATTTCATGATTGAGAAACTCAAATACTGTGAGAGTGGGGGCACCAGGAATTGCCTTCTCAAATGAACGACGGATCAGTGAATTTGGCATCGCTTCCCACGCTGCTATCACGCGCTTGATCATGGCTAGCGCTTGGTCATGTTCTCCTCCTTGTTCTTCAGCCACCCCCTCCGTTACTCCAGTCGATTTCCAAGTGCCAGATTTGAACGAGCCCATGATGAATGAGTGCTGTGGATTCATTCAATCATTGATTGCATGCAGCCAGTAATTTTGTGATTAGTCCATAGAGTAGTCATATGAGGTGATTGATTTTTGTGTGAAGAATAGCTAACGGCTTTTGAGGAATTCTAGCGCAAAAAGAACTGTCTTACCAACTGGAAGACTGGGAATTCGTGGAGTCAAACCAGGGGCAGCGGTGACACCCTGCACCATAAACGGTAAGGCCAAAATAGATCCGTTATAAAGGTTGCTGAAAAGGAATCTGTGTCGATGAATGATGGTGGATGAATATGTATAGGAAATTTGACGTTTTTGCTTGAAAGCGATTGCTGTCAAGGGCCATAGTAAATATAAAATCCAAGGCTATAGCTCATGTAACACAACGAGATCATGCTTGACGTACATCATGTCCTTTGTTGTGGCCAAATATGTCATCTTTTGGCTGAAACGACGGGGTTTTGATCGACTGTTTAGAACGCCAAGCCCATACTATAATTCCAAAAGTATGAAGGAGAACCACTGGGATAGTTTTTTCCATCGTTACCTCTACAACCATTGTCCGTAAGTCTCAGCACGATTGTGAGTACAGTGATGCCTCCATTATTGCAACAGGACACATTCAATATCCTCCGAGAACTAATAAATTCGTTTGGAGCAGTAAGATTTGAAATTCAACTTGTACCGCGACGGAAGAAATGCCATCGGCTGGAAGAAGATTGACGCTCCAACAGAAGGAGGCACTGCGTGACATGTA